AGGGTTAATAATATTAGCACAAATCTAATCCTCGTTCCTCAGGCACCACATTCCACTGAACTACGGGTCCCCAATATATATATATATTTCCTTCAAATTTATTTTATCTCTTTGCAGATTGATCTGTTGGAAAACACCTTGGTGGACTGGAAGAACGAAAGTTTGAGAAACGATTACCGCCAGATCCAGCCCCTCAACAAACGGGTGGTCAAAGCATCTTTCTCACCTCGGCTGTTTGAAGGTACACAGCAGGAGTGACTCCCCCCCCCAAAAAAGGTGCCATACAGGAAGCTAACTAGGATGGGCAAACCACCTTTGATAGGACCAGCACAGACTGGGATTTAAGACAGGGACCAGGAAGAGAAATGTAGGACTCACCTCAACCTCCATGTTAACGCAACTGGAGGAGATATAATCTGTTTCCTTGCTTGCAGCTGGTCAGCCTCCTCCTCCGAGTAGACCTTTACTCTTGAGTAGAACCCCTCCCTGGTCACTTTTCTCCTGCTGAGTAGACCTTTACTATTCTGCTGCTTAGGCCCCCACCTCCAATGGAACTGCTTCTTAACTTCTCGAAGATCCCAGGAAGGGGAACGGGGATTAAATAACTTTTAATTTGGTTTGGGCAGTGAGACGGTTGGTGTATAAATTTAGCAATAAACAAACAAACAGGTTTGTGGAAAAGGTTGCTAAAATGCAGGGCCCATGAGCTCAGTAACAGGCAGCTGATGTCTGTCTTGAACATATGGACCCATGTTCCTAGCTAGAGCTGGCCCTTGTGTATGGTCCATCTCCCAAAGTAGCCAGAGGAAAGCTTTAGTTTGATCGATTCAGGTGCATCCCTAGCCTATGTGATGGGTAAGCCATGATTTGTGGCTTAGTGAGTTGCAGGTGAGCCAGGCCAGAATGGTTTGTTGCACAAACCCCAATTAAAACCAGAGCAGGGTGCGTAAGCTCAGCAGGACCAAAGGAATGTGAAAAGCCCCCTAGTTATTCTTCATCGTTCAATCCCTAATTTCCTTGGAGATAAAGATGATAATGTTTACAAAGGAGCTAAAACTAGAACTCCCGTCATTTTAGGAAGGTGTCGGCCCGAGAGCATCTCCAGTAAGCTCAATAAGATACAGACTAGTCTTCGCGAGATGAAGAAGTATCTTCTGGACGTCATAGGCAGACCTGGTAAGGAGCCCCTCCTTTGCTTTTATTGACCTGCGTGCATTCGGACAACCTTGTTTCCCAACCCAGCTGGGAAAACCAAGGGCGCAACATTTAAGAGACATCAGAACAATTCTGGATTCTGGAAGTCCCATGGAAGCCAGGAGGCAAGGCTGTTTGAGTCTTGGAGGCATCTTGTCTTCCCTACCTTTGAGGTCTCTTGTAGCTCCTCACATCACAGGATTTTTAATTCTTCGGTGTCTCAGCACCTTCTGTGCCTTCTTTGTCCCTCAGTGCCCATTGTGATGGAGAAGTGGAGATGGTTGGAGAAGTCCACCAATATGGCTGAACTGAACCTCCCAATGTCGCCCATCATCAGTCATGGGGACTCGGGAGGTGTCATCCTAGCATCTGACAACTTAACACTTCCTCCTCTCAGCATTAGCAAAATACTGAAGATATTGACACCACCTTTCCCCCCCTGCTCAGGTCACTCCAAAAAGCTGAGGCCACTTCTGGAGATAAGGAGTGTTGGTTCTGTAAGGAAAGAGCCCAACGGATTGGCTCATCCGTGGGTCACCTCAATAGCAACCTGTACACCAGACATGGCTTGAAACCTTGCCCAAGTAGAAGGTTGGGTATCATGTCAATAAATTTAAATTTGGATTCTCCTGGGTTCTTCCAGGATCAACTCAAGGACCACCTATGAATAAGAGGTTCTCCTGGGTTCTTCCAAGGATCAACTCAAGGACCACCTATGAATAAGAGGTTCTCCTGGGTTCTTCCAAGGATCAACTCAAGGACCACCTATGACTAAGGAGTCCTCCTGGGTTCTTCCAAAGAACAACTCAACAACATTTATGACTAAGAGGTTCTCCTGGGTTCTTCCAAGGAACAACTCAACATCTATGACTAAGAGGTTCTCCTGAGTTCTCCCAAGGATCAACTCAAGGACCACCTATGAATAAGAGGTTCTCCTGAGTTCTTCCAAGGAACAACTCAACAACATCTATGACTAAGAGGTTCTCCTGAGTTCTCCCAAAGATCAACTCAAGGACCACCTATGAATAAGAGGTTCTCCTGAGTTTTCCCAAGGACCAACTCAAGGTGAAGCCATATATAAAATTGGTTCCTTCCAGTTGGTGGGCCAACTCAAGGACCACGCCAACCTGACCGTGTCTGGTTCTTTATTCCAGGTCATCACCAGCTCAGCTTGCAAGCCTTCCACTTCCCCTTGGAGAACACCGCCAGCTACGTGACCATCGTCCCTCTGAAGCCCATACAACTGAAGACCTTCACTCTCTGCTTCTGGGTCCAGAATAGCAACCAGGGCAGGCAGACCGTTCTCTTCTACTCCACTCCCGAGAGCGAAAACGAGTTGGTCGTCAGCGTGGGCATGGCGGTGGGAGTCTGGATCGGGGGCAAGTTTGTGCAATTTGACCTCCACCGCCGGGCAGAAGACTGGGTCCACCACTGCGTCACCTGGGTCTCCAGCTCGGGCACCATCAACCTGTGGGTCAACGGAGCCGTGGGCACCGCCCGGAACATTCAGAGAAACTACGTCATCCAGAGCGGGGGGACGCCCATCCTTGGGAAGAGGAAGAACGCCATGTTGGACGTCTTCGCCGATGCTTTCTCTGGGTGGATGAGCCACGTCAATCTCTGGAGCTGGCTGCTGGACCACAATGACATCCAGGAACTCACCCTTTGCAAACACAGCCAGCAAAAAGGCGATGTCTTGGCCTGGGGCGAAACACACATGTCCCTGTTTGGTGGGGTGACCTTAGGCCCCGACACCAGTTGTAGGTGAATCAGGCCTGAGTTCGAGGTCTATGTACAGAAACGCTTCTTTCCTCCCCCAAATCTTTGCATTTGCCCCCGCTGGGACTCTTAAGCCGGTGTTTTTCCAACTTCAGTGGGTGTAAGAGAGGGGAACGTCAACTCCCAAAATTCCCCAGCCAGGCTTCCGTTATGATTCCGCATCTCCAGAAGCTTTGCTGGCTGGGGGATTCTGGGAGTTGAAGCCCACTCCTCTTAGAGGCTGAAAAAACATTGTTGCCCAGAGACTTTGGTGCACTCCCCTCCAGCAGGGGCTTCTGGGTAGGACCGAGACTTTAAGTCCCAGGCTACTGACCCACAGGTATGGTGTGAACACAGCCCTTCGGGCACTGTTGAGAAACCTGGAGCTAAAATGTCCCAGGTCTACCCCCAGGTTTGGGGTAGACCTGGCATTGCCCCCCCCTTTGGATTGCCCTGGGTCAAACAGTAAGAGGGGGGCACGAGGTGTCGACCATAATGATTAACAAAAGATTGCAAACTGATCATCCAGAGGATCAGCTCCTCAACGAAACCTGCTAATAAATTTAATTTAAAAGCCTGCATGGCATAAAACCCTCATCTGTGGCTTGCCGGCTGTGAGGCATCAATAAATTCTCCACTACTTCAACCCAATCCTTATTTTATTTCTTAGATTTATATTGCTACCCTTCTCACCAATAATACAGTAATCCAATGATTCGGTATTCATCTGACGAGCTTTGTCAGTTGACAAGCATTTTGTAGTTGGATAACACCAAATTGAATTGAAGGACACTGACAATCCTTAAATGATAGGTTTCCCTCACTCTCTTTTTTTAAAAAAATCTCAGATATCGTTTATGCTCTGTGAATCCCAAATTTAATTTATCCTTCTCAGAAGTGGTATCAGCTCTCTCCAAATATATCTCGGCGCAGGAATGCAATCCCAGCTAATAACGAGATTTGAACGAACTCTCCGCCTCTTTCCACAAGCTTTATCCAAGAACTATTTTATTTTGCAGCACTCAAATAATAAAAATAAAACACACCCGTTTGTGCAAAAGTGTCATTCCCCCACACCTTGGGAAAAAAAATGTCCAGCGAAAACTAAACAAAAAACAAAAAAAAGAAGCCCAAACACACACACAAACACACAAATCCATTTCAAGATATGTACAACGTTCTCTTGGCTATTTTTGTGGATGTTTTAAAAAAAAAAGAGCTTGGCTTTGAAAAGGGTCAATTCTGATTGCAAGGGAAACAATCCATCAACCCATTTTGTTTTGGAAAATAAAAATAAAAATGGTTAAAAAAAAATAGAAAAATTGGCAGGTTGGTAGGAGCCCAAGTTAAACTCAATGTAGAAATATCCCCAGAGGTGGAAATTATTTTTCTCAAGTGGGCTCCCAAATCTCCAGCAGGCTTACCTTGAATGCCGGGATCTGTAGATCTGCCTTCAAAAGGGAACGCATGACTGATATCTAGCATGTCAGAAATCCTGGCTACGATGGAACCGGAGAGGCTAGCTTTCTACATTTAGGGGATATTTTCCTATCTCAAAACATTTAACAACCTGGGATTCAAAAGAAAAAAGATGAGATGGTTTTGTTTCATTTAGAAGCGGTTCTCTTGGGGCAGAAAGGAACACTTGAAAAGAGACCACTCGCCATGTAGCACAAAACTCGCAAAATGCAATTGTGTTATAATAGACAGCCAGGATTGACCTGACTGGGGAAAAAATGAGCCGTTTGATCTAACACACCCTGGGGGAGAGGTTGTGGGGTGTGTGTGCCACAAAATGCACCTCTCAAATTTAAGCAATGGTAGGGGGGGTCTCCTTCCCCAGTTAAATTAGGGTGTTATCTAAGAACAGAAGCAAAAATTATTTACATGCTCCCATATAGAGAGCCCAAATGCATCTATATCCAAGAACAACAATTTAAAAAAAAATACTGATAATTTTTTTAAGGTCCGCCCGGTTGAAAACTCATTTCTTCCAGCACGCACCAATATTAGCTGAATCTCTTCCAAAACAGGGTCTTATTCCACCCCAAATCCCGCTAACTCCGGGCAACGGCTGAAAAATGGCAATTTTCTGCTTGAAATTTTTTTTAAGATTTTGAGGATTCTTCCCCTCGTCCGCAGCGAGAGGAAGAAATGCCAGGCGCATCGCAAACCGGAGAAGCTTAATAAGGCTCGATTTACACGGGGGACGTTTGGCGGTCGCTAAGACCTTACAACGCGCTGCTTCTCTCCCCGTCGGCTTTCTTGCTGTACGGGATGGAAACGGCGGTGAAATCCTTCAATTCATCTTTCTCGGCCTGATCTTCGGTCCCGTTCCTCTTGGCCATGATCTGGTTGATTTCCATAAAGGTTTTGTTCTTCGTTTCGGGGACGATGAGGAAGACGTAGATGGCGGTGGCCAGGCAGATGGCACAAAAAATTAGGAAGCAGTAAGGACCGAGGCCTTGCTGGCGAAGGAACAGACAGAAGAGACATTTGTAAGAGAAGACAGAGATCGCATCGGTCGGCAGCTTTACAAAAACGTTTTTTATTTGGGGAGAAAATTATTTTTGCTTCGGGAGAATCCTTGGCTCAAAACCCCGCTGAGGTTTTGGGTTTTGTAAGGAGCTATTCAGACATAAAAAGTTATAAAGTTTTGCCTCCAATCTAAACTACAGGTTTAGACTTAGGGCCGCAACTGACACCCCTCCAAATTTCCATTGCAAGTCTGGATTCCCCCACTGACTTTGCTTGGCCGACGGTCGCAAAAAGGGGATCGCCTGAGCCCAGAACACTGCAACTGTCATAAATACAAGTCAGTTGACAAGCATCTAGATTTTGATGATGCTGCCACGGACTTAAGTTTAAGTGTGAAAAAGGGTCATGAGTCATTTTTTCCCCCCAGTGCTGTTGTAACTTAGAAAAGTCACTAAATGGAAGGGGGTCAGTCAAGGGCTATCTGTATCCACAAAGGTCAGTTGCGTCCATCGAGACCCTATGATTGACTTAGTCAAGACGGTTGAAATTAATCATGGTTTGGAGAAATGGCTTAGGCAGATTTCTATTTTCGTACGTTCCCACGCATTTAAAGCGGAACGCAGGTCCAATCCCCCAATACGAATTCTTCCGTTTGCAAAAAGTTGCAGAACTTTTTAACACGATTTTTAACTCCAAGCAGCCGAAAACCAACCCCGTGTTTGCAAAAAGTTTCAGAACTTTAAAAAAAACAATGTTTACCTCCAAGTAGCTGAAAACCAGCCCCACGGTGAAATTCGACAGCCAGTGGACCGACCCTCCCACCATAAAGGCTGCCGGGCGGGAGGACTGCAGAAACATTTCCATTATCATAACGCTGGGAATGGGGCCTAAAAGGGAAGAAATTGGAAGAGAGAAAGGGGTCTGTCCAAGAGGAACAAATTCAACTTCATTTCCTTCCGCCCCCCCATCTTATGCCTGGCTGAGCTTGCCAGCTGACGTTGCCCACACTTCTTCATTGAGGTTGCTTCATGAGGACTAGAAATTTAGATGCCTGTAGTATGGTAATTATATATCATTCTATTATACATAATTTTATTAAAGAGATAAAAGCAATACAAAGAATAAGACAGAGAATAGAAAAGTTTTTGACAATTATAAATGCACTTGTATTTTATCCTCTGTCTCAAGTTGCATCATAATTTCCTGCTTCTATAATCATCACATCCATACATCGCTAATTTTTTTTTTGTTTCCTCCAAAAAAAGTCCATCAGGAGTTTCCATTCAGAACTAAATGCAACAGTTGGGGTTTTTTTTAAAAAAAGTGAAAAGTTAATTTTGCCACCTCTTACTTAATGTTGCCCATCACTGAGGACTAGAAACATGAGGGGGTTTTACTTCAAAGAAACTAAATCTCAAGGGCTCTTTTGTTTTATAATGCCCAGTACAATTATGAGTGTTATAGAGGCAATAGATGTCATAGTCAGTGGAAGGTGTGAAAGCGTTGACAAGCCGACTTAGATATAAGGCTGGTTTGTGTGTGTCCTCTGAGCATACACCCATAAACCAGGCAGCGACACTACTCACTTGCACCAATGGCGTGTCCCATGACGTAAACGATTACACAGGCAATGCTGAGGTAAGGCATCCACCAAATCGCCTGGGGGGGAAATTGAAATTATAAATTATAAAAAAAATATATTTAAAAGAGGTTGAGACTTTGGAAAGATTGCAGAGAAGAGCAGCAAAGAGGATTAGGGGAATAAAATATATAAAGAACGGTTGCAGGAATTGGGTCTGTCTAGTTTAATGAAGAGAAGGACTAGGGGAGAGATGATAGTAAATGTTCCAATATCTCAGGGGCTGCCCCAAAGAAGAGGGAGTCAAGCTATTCTCCAAAGCGCCTGAAGGCAGGACAAGAAGCAACGGATGGAAACTGACCAAGGAGAGAAGCAACCTGGAACTAAGGAGAAACTTCCTGACAGTTAGAACAATTAACCAGTGGAACAGCTTGCCACCAAAAGTTGTGGGTGCTCCATCACTGAGGATTTTAAGAAGAGATTGGACCTCCATTTGTCTGGAATGATATAGGGTCTCCTGCTTGAACAGGGGGGTTGGACTAGAAGATCTCCAAGGTCCCTTCTGTTATTCTATTCCATATTTTCTATTTTATTCTATTCTTTCCTGCATTCTATTCTATTCTATTCTATTCTATTCTATTCTATTCTATTCTATTCTATTCTATTCTATTCTATTCTATTCCCACACCCCATTAAAGAAAGGAAGCATGCTATGGTAGAATCTAGGCTAAAATTGTGGGGTTTTCCCCCAGATGTACCACCTCGACCCTCTTCCCCTTCAAGCCAACATACCTTGAGGTTTAGGGCTAGGGTTAGCACCGCACAGGCAACGCAGCAGACCCCGAAACCAACCAGAAGCAAAATCCTTCGTCCCAGAGCCTCGACGATAAAGACCTGCCGAGGAAAAAAGAGCTAGATTGGGAAACCGAAGACCATAAGGCACCGACACAGCTCACCCCCATCCTTCCCTTGCACCTCCTTCCCCACACCCTTCAAACTGCATTTGCTTAGCAAACTCTGCTTCCCACCTTTCTTTCCTAAACAGCTGGGAAGAGTAAGAATTCCTAAGTCAGGTTTTATTTCCTTTAAATTCTACTTCGTTGGGAGTAGAAGCCATTTTACAGGCAGACCCCAATCAAGGCCCTAAATTTATGTCGTTAAGTGAGGATTTGTGGAGTTTGACCCCATTTTACGACCCTTTCTTGGCACGGTCGTTTAAGTGAATCACTGCAGAAGGTCGCAAAAGGGGATCACACGACCCGGGGACACGGCGACTGTCGTAAATACGAGTCAGTTTGACAAGCGCCTGAATATGGATCACGTGATCGTCGGGAATGCTACAAAGGTCATAAGTGTGAAAAATGGTCATAAGTCGCTTTTTTTCAGAACGGTCACTAAATGAACTAGGTCGAGAACTACCTGTAGTTGTGTGTGTGTGTGTGTGTGTGTGTATGTGTGTGTATTCTCTCTATCGAAGCCAAATCAAAATAAATCATACCGCAATGATAGTCATCACCACGTTGACAGCTCCCGTCCCCACCGTGACGAACTGAACGCGGCTTTCCGCAATCCCGGCGTTGGAGTAAATCCGGTCCGCGTAGTAATACACCTGCAAACCGGATTGAAAACATTCCCAAGAGCGTGAATTTGACATCCCCTGGTTCTCTACACCCCCCTCAAGCTCTCCTTGTGGTCTCCTCTCCCATAACCGCCCCCTGGCCCCCAACGTTGTTGGTGTATTTCCTTTCAACCTTCAACTTTCAGTTTAAACCTATCCTTCCAACTCTCCTCTGAGTTGGGGTGAGCGAGGGGTGAGTCTGGATGACCTCTAGGGAGCCCCCTTCTTAAATCGTGCCTTTGCGTGCTTCGTACCGCGTTGACCCCAGAGAGCTGCTGCCCCATCATCATGACAACGATGGAGATGAGCTGCCAGCGGAGGCCTGGGTAAGTGAAGAGGGTCAACACCGACATCCGCCCTTCGGCTTTTTCCGCTTGGTCTTCCTGCCGCATCTCCTCCATCTCGTCCTCCACGTCATCCGAGCCTCGCAGCTTCCTCAAAGCTGGACGGGGGTGGGGGAAAAAAGATGAAAAAAATAAATAAAATAAAATCTCACAGCAGGGGTCTTCGAACTTGGCCCTTTGATGACTTGTGGACTTCAACTCCCAGAATTCCTCAGCCAGGCATGCTGGCTGAGGAATTCTGGGAGGGGTCTTCAAACTTGGCCCTTTGATGACTGGTGGACTTCAACTCCCAGAATTCCTCAGCCAGGCATGCTGGCTGAGGAATTCTGGGAGGGGTCTTCAAACTTGGCCCTTTGATGACTTGTGGACTTCGACTCCCAGAATTCCTCAGCCAGGCATGCTGGCTGAGGAATTCTGGGAGTCAAAGTCCACAAGTCACAAAAGGGCCAAGTTTGAAGACCCCTGGCTTAAACTTTCCAGAACAGTCAACTTAGAATCAGAAAAAGACACGACACGAAAGAAAAGGGGACTGGGGAGGGAAGAGGAAAACTCAAGGCAGCCGAAACGCTGGGAGGCGAGTATTCCTAGAAGGATCCGCTGGAAAAATATACCTGTCCTTGCGCCCTCTTCGTCGCCTTTCTGGATCAGCAGATACCTGGGACTCTCGGGGAAAAACGGCAGTAAGAAAAGCTGCAACACAGCAGGGACTCCCGTAAGAGCCATGAGGACTGGCCAGCCTGCAGGGAAAGAGGGAGACACGTCACAACCACACCCCACAACGCCTGACAACCCCCCGCCCCCCCGTGCTGCAGGAACCTCTCCGGTTTACCTTCGGCGCTCCCGAGGATCATCCTCATGCCGAGAATCTGAGCCGCCAGGATCCCCACCGTGATGAACAGCTGCGGCATCACCCCGATAGCGCCTCGAAGGTTTTTGGGGGACATCTCACCAAGGTACATGGGGACCACGTTGGAAGAAAGGCCTAATTTGGAAAATGACAACCGAATTCGGATAGCTTTCACGAAGGGAATGGTCTGCAGTCTGTCAGCAAGGGTGTAGGGTCTCCTGCTTGGGTGGTGGGTTGGTCTAGATGACCTACAAGGTCCCAGTTATTCTATTCTATGTTGTATTGTATTGTATTCCATTCCATATTCCATTTCCCATTCCACTCCACTTTACATTGTATTGCATTGTATTGTATTGTTCTGTTGTATTGTACTATATTCTATATTCTATTCTATTCTATGTTGTATTGTATTGTATTCCATTCTCTATTCAATTCCCCATTCCATATTCTATTCTATTCTATTCTTCTTTCCATATTCTATTCTATTCTAATTCTATTCTATCCCATAATCCTATTCTATTCTATTCTATTCTATTCTAATTCTATTCTATCCCATAATTCTATTCTATTCTATTCTATTCTATTCTTCTTTCCATATTCTATTCTATTCTATTCCATTCTGCATTTCTACTCTATTCTATTCTATTCTTCTTTCCATATTCTATTCTATTCTATTCTGATTCTATTCTCCCATAATCCTATTCTATTCTATTCTATTCTATTCTAATTCTATTCTATCCCATAATTCTATTCTATTCTACATTCTATTCTATTCTATTCTTCTTTCCATATTCTGTTCTATTCTATTCCATTCCATTCTGCATTTCTATTCTATTCTATTCTATTCTATTCTATTCTATTCTATTCTATTCTATTCTTCATTCCTTCTATTCTATTCTATTCTATTCTATTCTATTCTATTCTATTCTATTCTATTCTATTCATTTTTTTATTTCTATTCTATTGGAACACAACCTTTACCTCCAAATGATGGTTTTCCTGCCAATAACATTTTTTATTCCACTAGTTAAAGGACGATTCCTTGATTACTGTATCCATCCTTCCTCTAAATATTTTGTTTCCCTCTTCCTCTTCCATATCCCTAACCTCTAACTCACCACATCTCAACCTTGGCAACTTTAAGACCGGTGGACTTCAACTCCCAGAATCCCCCAGCCTCCACTCACTGCCTCTTTTTAACCCGGACCTGGTAGATGGTCTAAGACAGATGGAGGTTGCCCTTTGTCTTCGTGCCGAGGTCTCACCTGCGCAGATGCCAATAATGATGCGGCAAATGATGATCACTTCAAAGGTCTTGGCTACCTTGGAGGTCCCCATGAGGATGGCGGGGACGATGGAGAAGATGTTGTTGATGAGGAGGGTGCCCTTTCTGGAAAGGAGGAGAACATCTCAAGAAGGTTGAGGAGATTCAACCTGGAACTCTAAAGCAGGGGTCTTCAAACTTGGCCCTTTGATGACTTGTGGACTTCAACTCCCAGAGGAATTCTGGGAGTTGAAGTCCACAAGTCATCAAAGGGCCAACTTTGAAGAGCCCTGCTCTAAAGGATGAAGACGTGGCCCTCAACCTTCTTCCTCTGTAGACAAGATCCTTCGTTAGTCCACAGAAGACCATCCCAGGAGGTCCTCTTTGCTTGGACATCCAACCACACCCAAGAGGAAACCCAAGCCAGATGTTTCTCCTGGCACGGTGAATGTTTTCTATCTCCCAGGCCAGCAGGAGCCCTTCACTTGACCCAGGGTGTGAATTGTGCAAGCAAAAAGAAGGAGGAACTCTTCCACCTACCTGCCACAGTTGTTCACCATGGGCCCCACCATCAATGATCCAAAGAACCCCCCAAGTGGGAAGAAGGACACACTCAAAGACCAGAGAGCCGTCATCAAGCTCTCGTCCATATATTCGCTGTATCGTCCCTGGTACGTTTCATTGTAAAATTGTTGCATGAACTGGAAGAAGGATGGATGGAACAAAGGACCAATCAGACGAGGATCAACAAGCACCCCAATTTGTGTGTCCGTGTGTGTGGGGTGGCTTCCTATGGGTTGGGTACCTATCCTTCTCAGCCAGCAAAATTTGTGGGTTATAGCAGAAAGCACCTAGGTTGGCACAAGTGGATTTAAACAACATTACAAGTTGGTCCTTTGGGCTGAAACACATCACCGCTCACGGCTACTTCTTTCTAAATCTGTGTTTCTCCATCTTGGCCCCTTTGAAGAGAAGTAGACTTCAACTCCCAGAATCCCTCTTGGGATTTGAAGTCCACGGCTCTTAAAGGGGCCGCAGCTGAAAAACGCTGCTCTTTTTCTTAAGCCGAACTGAATAAATAAATAAATAAGCCCTATCTGCATTTTGGGGCATCTCTGCCTTCTTTGAAATTTATAAACTGCCGCTAAAAGCCCACCAAATGAATTAAATAACCCCAACGAACCGGAGCTGGAGAATTGATCACGGAGACGTTATATCCATACTGGAAGGACGATCCGAAGGCGGCGACGAGGGTCACTAGAGAAAGCATCAAAGTCATTTTCTGCAAAAAAACAAAACAAAACAAAACAAAAGAGACACAGAAAGAATATTACTGAACTAAGGCAGATAAACTAAGAGACCGAATTACTCTTCAAAACCCCTTCTAAGGGATCCTTCTAGCTGCGTGCCTCGGTCTTCCCATCTGCAAAATGGGAAATTAACTTAAGAGCATCCTCTTACTCAGCTAAGCCAATGTGCAAACATTTTGGAGTATTTCCAACAGCACTTTTAATCCATGCAGAGAGGGGGGGAGGTGATAATTTTAAATCTGCACGGACCCTGATTCGTTCAAAGGGAGAACTCCCCGTCCCAGGGACTGAATTGGGAGTGCCGCTGGCAGCCCAGGAAATTTGGGGATTGCCCCACCTGGATAATATATATATTATTTTTAATTTTTTTTTTCATTTTCAAATGAAAATTTGCACTCACCCCCTTCTGGGGTTCCTGTGCCGTGGGCTGTGGCATTTTTCACACTTTCCTGCCCTGCAGACCTAAAGGGAGGAATGGAAAAAGAAAGAAAGAAAAATTAATACGTTCCACAGACAGGGCTATAAAGGTGTGCAATTAAATGCAGCAGGATAAGTTGCTGACGCATAGCAGCAATTTATTTTACAACCCTGCTCCTGGATAAAAAGGATAAAACCCTGGGCCTTTGCAACCTTTGATAGAGCTTCTTGTGTAGCTCATTCCCCCCCCCACCTTCTAGTTCAAATCACAGGTTGTTGCAGGGATGGTGGAAGAAGAAATGGGTTCGAATCATGCTTGTGCCAGGTGGGAAAAAAAGGGGGGGAAATCCTTTTGTTTCACCCTCTTCCAATCTCTTTTCCTTGCCTTCGAAAGATTCTCCAATAGTGTTTTTTTTTCAACCTTGGCCACTTTAAGAAGACTGGACTTCAACTCCCAGAATTCCCCAGCCCACTGGGAATTCTGGGAGTTGAAGTCCAGACATCCTAAAATGGCTAAGGCTGAGAGACACTGCCCTACGCAAATTCCTTTCCAAAGCACTCACAACTACCCCAGTACTCCCTTTTTAAAACCTGCCCACAACCTTCTAGTTCTTTGGTATTACACCGCCCACGAGCGCAGCCTGGGGCTTATTGGAATTGTAGTTGGGGGACATCTGAGAAAAAAATTGGATCGTAGATCACATTTTCCCCTCTGTGTGGTGTGTCTCCTGCTTTTTCACCTCCGGAGACCTTTTTAAAAGTAGCTTTTAAAAGTTAGGCAGAAAGTTTAATAAGCAGAATAGGAAGAAGAAACAAAAAAACAAGGAAAATTGTTTTATTTAGTGCCATTCAGAATTAGAAGCAGCAAATTCCAGGTTTTGGAGACCAGAACATCTATCTGGGCTACCTGGATAAGAAACAGGATGCTGGGCTTTGGGGAAAATATTTTTTGTGAATTAAAATCCGCTATTTCTAAAGATCAGCATTTTGAAGCTCGATTACATACGGCGTATGTCTGCGTTGCATAACTCATTTTAAAAAAACAACAGGGAGTAGCTGTGGATGATAGGAATTGCAGTTCTCAAGTCTTCTATCACAAAACACCACTTTCAATTTTTTTGTGTGCTTTCCAACTCATCAAGAACAGGGGGAAAAAACCACACACACACACATAGCCAAAACCCCAATCCATCACGCAAAAACGTAGATTCTCTTTTTGGATCTACAAATCAACCTGGCTAGGAATCAAACTGAAGTCAGGTAAATAAAGTTTGCAATGTCAGGGAAGCATAATGGCACCAAGGCCAAACTAGTGCAATTTCTAAAGAAAGGATCTCCAAAACAAAAGGATGAGAAGCCAAGCCTCCAAGCAGGAGCTAGCCATGAGCCAATTCCAGTTGTTGTTGTTTTTTAAATGTAATAATCAATTTTGAAAAAGGATTTTCTCAAAGGGTGAAACAAAAATACAAAACACGAAAAGAAAAACAGCCAACTGCTTTCAATCTGAGCAATGATCCACACAAAAGGGTTTATTAATTCCTGGATTTTTCCAAGCCTTTTGCTTTCTCCTTTCCGCTTCAATTTTCCCCACCATTTCCCCCCACCCCACTCAATTTGTTTCCCTCTCTTGTATTCCTCTTTTAGGATTCCATCAATCCCAGCTAGCTAGCTGGCTGGGGATGATGGGGAACCAAAGCCAGATTCTCCAGCTGGGGCAAAACTAGTGATCCAATAACCCTCTGCCATCAAAATCCGCTTTAAAAAACCCCCCCAACAGCATCACAATTTATTCCCCTTTGAAGACATCCTGCAAAGTTTTATTAACCCAGCTCCCTGCCAAATAAACAAAACAAAATAAATAAATAAACGACTTGGGGAGCGAATTCTTTCTCTAAAGTCTGCCCCAAAATAAATCCTCCTCTTTTTGGGGGGAGGGGCATCTTTTGTTTTATTTTTTCTTACCTTCAAGCTGTAAGAAATCCTTCTTTTCTTTTCTTTTTTCTTGCAGAGGTGTCTGGATGCCCTCACAGCTTAGCTGGTGTGATTCAACAAGCCAGAGGCCACCCGGCTCCCTTCAATCCTATATATTCCTTTCTTTTTCTGACCCCACCCCCATCCTCCCCAGAAAATTCCTTTTTGTCTAAGGGTATTGGGAGGGAACCATTGCTTACGTGACCCCTAACAGATAAGCCCTCCAGCCATCCACTGGACAGACAGGCCATGGCTTTTATAAAAAAAAACCCTTCCTTTCCTGGCTGGGATGACCTCCATAACCCTTAAGTAAAATCACTGCAGCACGTAGACACAGCGCAAAACCCCCAAACCTATTTTATTTTATTTTTTGGGTAGGGAGGAAATTCCTGATTCTCCTTGGGGTGCACAATACCTTCTCTATGGTTGTAGATTAAGATTTCTCCGTCCAACCCATCAGAAGGGGTGGGGGGCAAAAGTTATCTTTGTTTGCAAAGGAATTTGAGGCTTCCTCAGAGTATAAAACAAACTTCCTTTTTTTGTTTCGAAAAGGTGTAAAGACATCCTTCCATTTGGTGCCTTCACCAAGGATGCAGGCAGGAGAAATAAAATAGACGGTACAGAACAGCTATATATATATATATATATATTTCTTCCTCCCGTATTTGGGCCCACAGGGTGCATCAAAAAAAACAACAACACTCAAGACACACACACACATATATATTTCTCAACATGAATACACACACACACACACACACAATTCTCATCAAAGCTTAGCATGCAAAAAAAAAAATAACCGTGCAGGGATTTTGGCCAGTTTTGCTGGCAGTCGAGTGACATACACATTTAATAAAAGACTAATTTATTTATTTTTTTCAGGCAAATTAATGCAGGTGAAATATGTGGGAAGGCCAGCTTTGGAGAATGGGACATAGATTTGTGTGTGTGTGTGTGTGTGTGTGT